TGACCATGTGATATTTCAGTTTTTTTTTTAATAAATCTGCAAAAATGTCAAAAATTCTGTGTTTTTCTGTCAATATGGGGTGCTGTGTGTACATTAATGAGGAAAAAAATGAACTTAAATGATTTTAGCATATGGCTGCAATATAACAAAGAGTGAAAAATTTAAGGGGGGCTGAATACTTTCCGTACCCACTGTATAACACAGCCCCAACCGTCCTCTCTTTCTGACCAACTGCTTGACTTATCATATAGTCAGTTTAAGACTTTGTATATTTGTCTTAGCATCCTGTTTGTTTTGGTGTCATGCATTTTTGTCAGAGAAGGCAGTTGCTTGGGTTTCAGTCTAAATGCAGTCAAAAACACTGAACAGGTGTCTAAAATCAAGTGCATTCTTGTTTTCCCACAATAAAAAATATAACTATGAAAGCATTTTTTGGACTTTAGTCATGCATTCATTCAAAATGCCATATTATGTTAATTTCAGAGGAGCTCTAGTTAGAGCTCTACAGTACGTGACACAGGGCTGCATGCAGAGTTTCATGACATGGTATCAGAACTGATTTCCTGAGCAGAGGTGCATCAGATTTCATCTGTAAGCATCATGTATTGCATCACTGTGTTGTCAGCTTCATGCTTTTTCGTGGCCAATTCCCATGTTCTTCCTGTGTTTCAAACCTTGCATATGACCAACATGGAATGTTTATTTACCGCTGCTCTATGCATGGACAGTAAACTGAACTAAATTAGTTCCTTAGACAGACTATGTCTAATGAACTGTAGGCATGGATGAATAGGTAGACTCAGAGGCAAGATACTACCAAACATAACTATGCAGGATATATTAATATTTACTTATCTATGCTCAAAAAGCTGAATTTAGGAGAACAAAACTTTGAATCAACAGACAGTGATCAAAGGCAGGTACAATAATTTGTCAGCGAGACCAACACAGACATTCAGCAGTTTGTTAGTTACACCAAACTAAAACTAACGCAGTGTAACAACAAGTTCTGCAATTAATCCCCTGCTCATGAATGTGATACTGTTCAGCTTTTATTGAAACTGTTTCAGAGGAGTGTTCATTCAACTGTGTGGTTTTGGAAAATATAGTTTGCACAGTTGTTTGTACATCACCTTCATGAAGAGAGGATTAACAGTGGAACTGGTGTTTGACAATGCATTAGTGTAATCTTGGTGTACCCAACGAACTGCCAATTGTGTATATATTGCAAAGAAAGTGCGCAAGCTTGCCATGCAGTCAGTTTGCCATGCAGCCAATAATTAGTGCTTGATGACGACAATGTATCAGAATTAGTTTGGAGAAAAAAAAAAAGTTTCAAAAAGAGCAGTAGTCATGAGTGACGTACAGTACATAGTCCCTGTCCAACAATAGTTCACATAACTCGCAATGAGACAGATGGTTTGTGTTTCCGCTGGCCTGAAACACTTGTGCAAGCCAGTTTCTGAGAAACATCTGATTTACTCTAGAACACTTATTAGCAATTAGAAACTTTAAACTGAAAATAAGAGTCTACAATCATTTATATTTATATGCCAGATAACAGGTAATCTAAAGGTGGCTTGCAGAGTGTTGTTCCCTTTGCAACACACCATGATCACTAAAACATTTTTGGGGAATAACTGGTTGTTGTGTGGGACAACCAGGGCCTACTTGTGGTATTTAGAAGATTGAAACGAGATTTCTGTGATTTTTTTTTTTTTTTTATATATTAACTTAAGTATTTGTGAACTATCGCCTTTGGTCTTTAGGGTGCCCATGCAACCACCTTTAACTTCCAGAAAGGTCTTAAGAGACATGGTAAAAGAAAGCAAACTTACTTCATTCATACCTAAAAAAGCAACAACAAAACAAAGAGAACAAAACAGGATCAGAAGTCTCATTTACAGTCCGCATGTATCCATATGGTAAACACTTGTGCCAACACACACATTTAGACATCATTCTACTTTATTCACATTATATTACAATCGTGAATATATGACACTCATTGGGGAATGGCTGAATGTATCATACATTATATTAATTCCTGAAAACTTATGAGCCAGATCTTCACGATATAGTCACAACTACTGAGGGGTGCTTTCCTTATTGTACAGTTATTAAACAAATGCACAAAGGAAAGAGGAGTCTCACAGTTGTCTGAAACATTATCACCATGTCCTGATGTATAGCAAAAGAACATACTCTAACTCTGAGATAAAGTGAATATGACTTTACATGATATACACAGTGAGAAAAAGATAAAGCAGAGAGAGAGAGAGAGAGAGAGAGAGAGAGAGAGAGAAGTTGTGAGGGAAGCAAAAGGCAAATCAGTCCGTTGTACACCCCAGAGTTTAACCCCCACCTGCCCATCTCCCTCATTAAACCCTAGTGTCGTACTTTTCCAGGAATGTAGTTGCGGTCAATGCTTTCCTCTTGCAGAAACATGTGAAGACAGCGCTCGTTCTGGGCCAAAGGGTGGCCTGCAATTCTACAGACACACACACAGAAAACAGATAAAATTCACCTACTCTTCTTTATAAATGTTTTTCCTAGGAGGTGGGTGAAATGCAATTGTGGATTAGTTAGCTGACATGGGGCTGCTTTAAAGCCCCTTTCAGACATGGTAGCCATGAATTTCCAGGCTTCATGCAACAATGCAGGGGTTCCTTTTTTTACAGTGAGATTTAGAACCGCTGTGCATAAAATTCCTGCCAAGGCTTTGTTCAACCATAATGTTCACGTGATACTCAACATCGTGCAAGAGACACACACAGAGGATAAGCAGTTCTTTATTTCCATGTCAGACCAATGTCCAGCTGTTCTGCGTTAGCTCACAGTGCTAGACTGTATCTTTTCTGTACCAGTTAAAAATAAACTTTATACTAGCTAGTGATGCTGTTGTTTTTAAATGTGTGCCCTAAATCCACTCCACTGAGAGAGCAGCAGTGGTCGAGTGATCTAGAGAGCGGCCTTAGCGAGTACAAAGCAATCATCTTGAGTGCGCCCCTTATCGGCAAGTTGACCGCTTCAATTCAGACATTTAGCCAGTTAGAACATAACCGACTATTTGACTAGGTCTGACCAGATAAAATTGCCGGTAACACTTCGCTGGCTACATAACTCAGGGCTTTGCTCAGACACTATGCCTAGATGTGACAGAGCTGGAAACTTCCTGGCTTGTGGTCCATGTCTGAAAAGGGTTTAAGCCTTGTGTAAAGCTAGACATTTTATGAAAATATCTGACTTGTAGTGAATATGTGATTTCTGTTTAGGTAAACACATGTTGTGAGGCAGCACAATAGGGGCTTTGATTCATGCTTTACTAGATGTAACAATCCCACAGAGTTCACTGATGAAATACAAAACTATCCTTATCCTATAGCTCCTTCTTCAGCTTTCCATTAGAATTACAAACTCATACTTTCCACATTGGGACAAATGTATTTGTTGGCTTTATACCTAGAAAGACAAAGCATATACTTTCATTTAAGGCTGCTGAACTGGCTGACCTGTTGATGAACTGCTCCAGGCCTAATCGCCGCTCCTCAATGAATGACTCCTCAAAAAGGCCCTCGTCTCCACGGAATGGCAACTGCCTCTTCAGGGCTTTGCCTGGCAGAGGTGGTACTACAATCTTAAAGTATCAGGAGTCAACACAAATAAGAGGAATGATTAAAAACATGACCTGAAAACTAAACCTCACACTCATTGTGTTGTAAATTCAAAACTGCAAATTAGCTCATGTGAGCCAGGAGTTTAAAACAAAATGTATAATTTCTCAAATTAACATGAAACACACGCCTATAGCATAACCATAATCCTTATATGATATGTGAGAAGCAATGTATGGATTATATTTTTACACCCATGATGTGGGATGTGACCTCTATCCTGTAACCATTATTAGCCTGAAACATGTCATTATTGCTCACTCACCTTACTGTCTCTTTCCAGCTCATTCTTTAACCACTCAAAGTCACTGTATCTTCTTCTCACACAGGAATCCTTCAGTTTGAAAATGGGAAGGTTTGTCTACACAGAGTAGAAGAAAAATACAAAAACAGCTCTTGATTTACGCTAAACTCAATCACTTGCACATGGCTGCTGCTGGAAAGCAATAAGCGAGCCTGTAGAACCATCGGCAAATATCAAGGTTTACTGATGGTATGGTGGAAGACCTCAAGAAACAAAATCCAAGTATCTCTTACCACAATAAAGTGATCAAACCATTGGCATGAATGTCAACAATTAGGCCAAGTTTGAAGTGAGGGTGCAGTTCTTTTTGGTGTAAGTTGTGCTGCAAAACAAATCATTAGTTTCCTTATTGATTATAGTCAACTGAATTATTTAGGGGCAGCACGGTGGCACAGTGGTTAGCGCCGTTGCCTCACAGCGAGAAGGTTCCGGGTTCGGGCCCCACCTGGGACCTTTCTGTGTGGAGTTTGCATGTTCTCCCCGTGCTTGCGTGGGTTCTCTCCGGGTACTCCGGCTTCCTCCCACTGACCAAAGACATGCAGCTTAGGTTGATTGGTGTCTCTAAATTGCCCATAGGAGTGCGTGCGTGTGTGTGTGGTTGTTCATCTATGTGTTAGCCCTGCGATGGATTGGCGACCTGTCCAGGGTGTACCCCGCCTTCGCCCGATTGCTGGCCGGGATTGGCTCCGGCCCCACCCGTGACCCCGTTCAGGGACTAAGCGGTAGAGAATGAATTAATTATTTAGTTCACATATTGGCAACAATTAGTGCAAAATCGCCACACAAATTTCTTCAGATTACTTGTATCTTACCAACTGTCCACAGCCTAAAGATATTCCATTTCAGTATTATTTAAAAGGAACCAAATCCACCCACTGGAGCAGCAGATTATATTTTTTAATCCTCTACAAATGATTAACTGATAATCAGGATTGCCCATTAATTATTCTTTTCAGTATAGTTACAGGAAAATTTCTACAATATGGAAAGTCAACTGAACAGTATAACTGGCTGTGCATTAGGGGAAAAAAAAAGGCTTAGGTGCAGCTGATTTCATACATCTACCTGTGATACATATAAAGATGACTGCCAAGCAAAGCTCTTTTACTTCCATACTGAAAAGTGGCAGTCTGATAAAACTGCCAGTTCTGGTGCTATCGGTTAATTATGGGTTTTAGTAGCTATAGAATGGGTGATCCAACTGCATGCCTTTCCTTTGATTCACTACTGTAGACGCTTACAGGCGGTGTGTGTGTGTGTGTGTGTGGGTGGGGGGGTGTAATGCAATACTATGCTTTCCAGGTAAGACTGGCTTGTGTTAACAAGACTGTTCTGGCTTTGTTCAGGTTTGTCTAAGTGTGAGATAGTGGCGTTCGAATGTGCAAGTTGGCAAAAGTAAGCTTGCTCCACCTGTTGACCCAAAAACTCCCACACATGGTAACAGACCTGTAGGAGTCTAAAGAAGCTTAATTTTATTTTCATTGTAACACCTACAACGACATTTTGAATGGAGCTGAGGGCTTCGGGCCGCCATCACGGGCAACTTCGGGGGTACACAGTGTCTTGCCCAAAGACACTTCGACATGTGGACTGCAGGCACCGAGATTCTAACCTTCAACCTCTGCTCTACCCACCGCACTACTGTCGCCCCCCACTGTCTATGAATGTCGCATTAAAAATAAAATTTAAAAGGAGAAACCCCACTGGTTAAAACTGGAATGTTTTTGTAAAACGATAAGGATACTCTCCCAGGAAAACAGGCACAAGCACCACAAAATGAGGGCCTGTAGGCAAGACAAACCTTGTAAGTTGCAATTGCGTAAGTGCAGTGTTAGCACCAGCTTCCCGAAAATGTCTTTAAAATAAGCTGTGTCAGTGATTTTTTTTACTGCCCGTCTACTAGAAACTTTTAACTAGCTACTCAGCTAACAACAATCACAAAGTGTACTGTTTAACAACGATAATGTCCGAAAATGTTACCTTAGTCAATTAACAACATTTACTGCATGCTATTCTTCCCATTTATAACACTTGTTATTTAGCTACGTAACATTAGTTTTCTTGATTAAATACCAATGTGTACCTTAACTTTAAACACAGAACAGCAGTAACCAGCAGTGTTACCGACGTACGTACTTGTCATTAGTTGTCTATGTAAGCTGACAATACTAAATTAACGCTGGTCTTTATTTTGTTTACAATGAAAAGCTAACGTTAGCTTTGTTCGAGCAGCTAACATTAGCAGTTAGCTTTGCAGTGTCGACTGGGACACCCTTGTTCACCCACTGTCGCTATTTTTCGTTACATTTCTCAGGATTTAATTCTAACTAGTTATATGACAATTAGTTTGAAACGCATTGACGTTACCCCTTACGTTAGTGTTAACTCTACACCACTGACATGGCTTAAAATTGTAAATCTGTCTTCACCATGTATGCTCGAAGACGCTGAATGTTCATGAAACTTCTCTCTAACGTTACATCAAGCAACCACCATAAGTTACGCCCTTAACAATGCCCAGTCCTCGAGTTTTACAGAAGCGCCATGTTAAGGCACTTCGAGCGCCTACGCCAATGTAACAACCCGATACCACGGTGGACATTTTAGCACAGCAGCTAAATACGCTAACGCTAGCAACAACAGTTAGCTTCGGCTAACTACCGCATCAAGGTGTTTTGGCTGGCGGTGTCAACACTTACCCGCATGCGAACTTCGTAAGTTGTGTAACGGTTGCGTCCAACTCCAACGATTTGTGGATCATAAACGTCTATTTCCAGAAAATTGCTGGGGGGACCGTATGCATCCATCAGGTCCTGAGGCTTGGAATTCAACCGGCGAGTGTCGGCCACCGCAGGCTCTGACATTTTGTCGGGTTGTATTTTCTGAACGGCCAACGTCAGACAACTAAATGCACAGTAAACGCTTAAATCTCATCTGAAGACATCAATTGATTGCGGTAGCTGATCGGTTCAGCCAGGCAGTAACTGACTTGTAGCTATCTCCCTGTTGTTGCGGGGGCTAGCTGCCCTGCACCCTACCCTTCTTGAATCCGAAAAATGCGTTGAATCAGTTCTGTGCTGTGTGGGACAGTCTGCACTCCCTCTAATGGACATGGGGATAATTGGACGGAGCGGACTGAACAATCAATCCCATAGATCAATTCGCGGGACAGAACCATAAAACAGAGGAAGGCTATGTTTTTCAAAAGCAAACCAGGGAAAAGATACAAAGGACTGCAGCTGTTAGCCTCGGTAATGACAGATGCCAAGGGACATTAAGTAACCGCAAAGAGATGCAAAAGACCACGAAGTGATGCAAAAGTAATACAAAGAAAAGCAAAAAGACTGAATTACTTGTTAATAAGTAAATAAATGCTAATTTTTTAAGAGCAGAGTTGTTCTTGATGCTCTGCAAGCTTTTCTAGCTAAAAAGATAAAAATATGGTATTGTGTTTTTAAGAATTAGTTAAATATTTCAAACTATTAACAAAGCTAAGAGAGCATAACTTTATTTGGTGTCTAATAGAAGATAGATACACAACAATGCTTTTTAAAATCACAATAATTCCATGTAAGAAATAATAATCAGGTAGTCACATCACCAATAAAGTATTTTGTAAAAAAAAAAAAAAAAAAACACAAAAAAACACCTTCACCAAGCAATTTTATACAAACTTGTTGCCCTGTTGAAAGTTTAAATTAACTTTCTATCAGCAATTACCATGTTTTCCTTAAGCAGCAAGTCAGAGGAGAGTCACTTGAAACCAATAATATTTAAAACTTGGTCTTTTGTGATATACATATGCATGTGATTAATTGCACAATGGTTAAACATATGAAAAATATATATATAGCAGACTCCCTTTATGTAGAATATAACAAAGAGTGAAAATATAGGTTTTGGAGTGGTAACCATTTTTAAGAAACACTTTGGGTATAATTTTGTTCATGTTTCCAAATCATACACGTTACCCTTTATATACTCATAAGCAAATATCTAAGTGAGTTAGCAAAACAAAGCAGCTCTGTTAAAACCTCCTGAAAATACTAAAACCACATCTAGTCATAAACTGACTCAATAATGAAGCTCTCATATAAACTTGTAGAACAATCAGTAAGGGGTTAGAGGAAGTAGAAGTTAAAAAAAAACTTCAATTTGTTCTCCTAGTGTTGTGAAATCAGTTTACTATAGATAAAGTGGAAAGTTTAAGAGGAAATTTGTTGCCTTATAGTTGTTGTTAACAACTGGACAACATATACAACAAACAAATGCAGTTTTAAGGGCATTTTAATAAAGAAAATGGTTGTTTGGAGTTTATTTGTCGTAGATTAAGCTAATAGGATCATGGATTTTAAGGAGATTTTGTTATGGTTTATGAACTTGCTGCCTGTTTTGTGCTTTTATTTTGGTTAGTTTCCTGTCTTGTGTCATCTTACCTGCCCTAGCTTTACCCCGGTTCACAATCACCATTCATTCTTTCCACCTGCTGCTCGTTATCCTCTGGTCACCTACCTATATATACTCCTTCCTTGCGCCTCAGGCTCTTGCTGGTTTGTTTTGTCTCCATGCCTTATTGCCTGTTGTCTCTGTTCTCTCAGCTCACCACTCCTGCATCTCTGCCCCGTAAGTTCAGTACCTGTCTCTTGTTTGTTTCATTTTTTTTGAGTTTTTTTGATCAGCAGTACTTTGGTTTATTTGACTGGTTTGGTTTTCATTTTTGTACCCAGCTCCCTGACCTAGTTTTGCACTTGTGTTACTACTACCGGTTGAGCCTTGTATTTTGTTCCTGTTTCTTGTGTTGCATTAAAATCCTATTGACCTTTGCCTTGGCTTGTCTGCATATTTGGGTCCTTCCCATGCCTGAGACTTAACAGATTTGGTTTTTTTAAACCTGTAACTACTGGAACCCTCAAACGGTAATCCATTTTAATTGCTGTGGTTTTTTGTTGGGGAAACTGAGGCCATGCATCATATCAGTTTTCTGATCTTTATAGCTGTGCAGCAGATGCATCTAAATAGACTTGATGCTACTTCTCAGATGAGACGGTAACTGTGGAGGCAGCAGAGGAGCAGGGGGTGGGCAGGTCTTCAGACTGGTTCACAGGACTGGAGATTGAACAGTCGGTTTGGTTGGTTGTGACAGAGCAGGTGAAGTCATCAGAGCTCTCGCTGTCGGACTGGGAGACATGGCAGTACTCACGGACAGGACAGGCACGCTCGGTGTAGTTGGCCTTAAAATTCTCCTTCAGGTTTTTGGAGATTTGAAGCCAATTCTTTAATAAAAACAAAATGTATAACTTATTTTGCTGCTACCTCACAGGAGAGTACATTTCTGTCACAATGGATTTTCATCCAATGAATGAGCATTGTGGACTGCTTCTTCCAAAGCAACACCTTATGAACAAGCTTGTTCATAAGGTGTACTGTTTATATTTTTAAACAAAGCTTTAGCAATAGCACTGTCATTTGGTCAGTCCACCAACAAATCTCAACCATTTAATGGTTTTCCATTACATTTTGTACAAACACTCATGGTACACTGAGGATGAACCCTACTGAATTTGGTGACCTACTGACTTTTCTTCAAGCATTGCCATGATGTGTATGCTTGTGGTTTTGAGTAAAATACAACTTTTCAAGTACCATAAAGTCAAAATTTCAATTTGTCCAATTTGAAATTCCAAATCAATAATTATAAATGTTTGACTTGACATTTCAGGGTGAAGGCACAGAGCTGGTGGGTGCTACAAACCTCTATGTCATGAGAGATCAGGGATGGCTTGGGAACCACAGGGATGATGTAGATTCTCAGCCTATATGGGAGGTAGGCATATTCTTGCTGTCAGATCTCACTGGTATCTCATGCTGATATAATCTCTTTGGCTATTGTAAAAATATAACACTTTGTAGAGTTTAAGAGGAAGGCCAAAGAGGAGATATATGGATGTGCTAAAAGAGGACATGAAGTTAATTGGGGTGAGTAGAGGATGCCAAGGATAGCTGGGTGGAAACGGATGGGAACTGCTGAAAGAATTTAAATGACAATGTGTGCAATATAATCATTTACCACTAACAATTTAACACTTCACTGCATAATACGAAGTACTGATAACCTAAAAAAAATAATGGAAAGCTAAGGAAATGAGTATACATTGCTGACACACTGGCTACATTATATACTTAGAAACTACCATGTTTATACATGATGTATAGGCCAACCCACCTTTCATGGTGCAGCAACATAACGGCCAGTAGGATGAGGGTGATAATGCCCACCACAAACAGCACTGGAGTCCAAACGGGCATTGAGGAATTTATTAGATTAGCATCTGCTGGGGGAGGAAAAAGGTGGTTTGTAATTGTTTTAATCTTGCACATTTACTGTTTTGAGCACATGTACTGTAAAGGAGCAGATGCAAAGTTGGAGTCATGTTTAATGTTTAATCATGTGTGCTATGGTGAAAGAGTAATTGACACCTGGGTTGCTTGCTCAAATAATCCATTACTGATTTAAATGGAAAGGTTTTACTGTCCTGTTATGGTTTGTGGACTTGCTTCCTGTTTGGTGCTTTTATTTTGATTATTCCTGTCCTGTTGCCTCACCTGCTCAATCTGCAGTCAACACTCATGGCATTCACCTATCCTTGCCCTCTTCTGTATATACAGTGGGTACAGAAAGTATTCAGACCCCCTTAAATTTTTCACTCTTTTATATTGCAGCCATATGCTAAAATCATTTAAGTTTATTTTTTTCCTCAATGTTGTTGGGTAAAATTATTAACAGTCATACTTTAAGGTTGATTCTAACATTTTATGAATTAAAAACTTAATTAGAAGATTAACATTATGCTTGTTGAGTAGTCAACCTGTGTGTTTACTTTGCGTATGGTAATTCTATCATAGTTAAGATTTAGTTTAGAGCACACATAAGTTTGCTTACTTATATGTTACAATTATGTTTACATAGTTGAGTATATCATTCTATGTGTTCACTGAAGTCTTGGCCAGTATTTACTGTGTTAGCCAACTGGAGCACTGTTTAACATCAAGGGGACTGGTTCACTAAAACACTGACTCTCATTAGAGTTACAGCTTTAGCAAAGAGGGTCACAGTTAATTTATTATCACCACCTGGCTGAAGAGGCCAGGGAATTTGGGGTCACTGGGACACCAAGGGTAATAAACAAGAGATTAGATCTAAAAGCCAACAAGAGGAAGACAACTTCAAAAGACAGGGCAATATACAGACACACACAGGCAAGATAGTTTAATTAGCCAAACGGGAAGCCATGTGTCATAGTGTAGTTAGTAACAAAGAGAGTGTAGGAATTTAGAGTAGAATTTCCTCCATCTTTAGGAAGCTGCCTTTCCCATTGGAGCAGAAAGGACGCAGGAGGAGGACAGATGGATAGATGGACCAATAAAACAGCACGAGAGGACCGGACCAGCCTACAAGGGCACATTTGAAATTGTATAAAAACAACTGAATGGAGGAGGACAGTGTTCCTTCTCGTCCTGAAGACGAGTTGAACGGTTTTGCTGTTGAGGTCAGGGCTTCAGATAGAGATGGAACCCAGAGCTCTGAAAATTGCTTTATTCGATGGTCTGTTTAGTTATGATAATAAATGTTTGAAAATTGATATTCGATTCCGATTATTCTTCAT